CCTCCAAACTAAAACAGCAACTTTTTGTTCTTTGTCCATATATAAGCCGCACCTGATTATAAGCCGCACTTCCGGGTTTGGACCAAAATTTTAGTTAAAATGGTGTGGCTTATAATTGTGAAATTACTGTACTTGAAACACTTTCAAAACCACTTTTTTTTCTAGGTTAAAACTGAGATGATGATGATGATAGCATCCGAATTCTGGCAAAAGTGTTATTCCACATTCTTACATGCTGTTCCCAAGCCACATGTTAGTGTGCCATTGATTTATAGCCAGAAGGTAGCCTCCTCCCAAGAGAAAACTGTGAGATATTTGTTTGAAAATGTCATGTTCATTTTATGTCTACAGCTGGTGATTATAAGGATAAATGTTCATGTTTAAGCAGTACAGTTGACTTGAAGGCTAACTGCCATCATCTTACAGAAGTCTTTAATTTTCTACTGCTTTTGGGACCCAGGCTCTAAGAGCTGGCTTGAAGAATGCAAATCCTCATGAATAGGTTTCCTTACACAGACATACTGTGGTGTGCTGCACCACCTTAAAGAGCAAGCCATAGTTCAGCTGCTGTCCATCATGCTGGTGATTCCTGCATGGAACTGGACAAATCAATAGTTACAGTCAATGTCAGCTGGATCTTGCCCAGTAGCTTAATCAAGGAGGCTAGTTTACCTTGGATCCTACTGACTGTGCCAGAAAGAAAAGTATCTCACCCCTAAGCAAACGGATGTGTGTACTTTTGGACAATATACCACCAGAAGGCATGAAGACTAAGAACACAATTTTTCTGATCTCAGAAGAAACTCATTATGATTTACATTCTTGTAACTGAGAAAAAAATGAGGCTCTGAATATCTTAGAAGATGCTGTCCAATTGAAAAAAAGGTTAGATTTGCACATTTATCGTCCATAATAGTATTTCTCTTCCTCAGCTACTGTTGGTCAGACTTGTGTGTGTGAAATGCAAATGCACATGTGGGAGAGTAAGAGAGAGTGCCATGTCATAGAACAAATTTGAGCAGGAATAGGAATTAATACATTCAGAGAAAACTTGTCCATTAGTCACTCACCCTTGTTGCTTTTTCAGCTGCCTTTCATGTATTCACTTGCATCTCCTAAATGCATTTTCTTTATAAATGTAATTGTAGAAAGACTAAATGTAGGCTGTTGGTAATGCCATGTTCAGAAGTACAACTCTTAATTAGAACTAAGGCAATAAATGTGCATCTGTCTGAGAAGTGGACATAACTATGATTGTAATGGTAAGGAATCCATTTTTATTAAGAGGTACTTAACACTGTGATGGCTTACCTTGTGAAAGCACAAACTGCACACTTTAGCTCTCAAAAATTACTCTTCTTGGTTCTCTATAAAAAGGATTTTTATCTTCCTTTAGACATTTCCAGTTCTAGCTCTTCCTGGGGAATGAAATTAAGAAACTGGGTGTACAGTCCTAGATAAACCAATTAATACTGTTTCTACATTAAACAATATGTTTTATGCAGAAACAACTGAAATAGACTTGTAATGAATTTGAATTTTTCAGTCTAGAGACTTGGAGTGCTAATTTTTGTGTCAGTGTAACTTAAGAGCTATCACAGGCTCCTGGTAGAAAGGGTGCAAAGCTATCAGTACCCCCTCTACTACCAGAACTTCCCAATTCCTATCATTGCGGTCATATGGTGGAAAGAACTCCCTCTCTGTATTACCTCTCCAACTATCCAAGGACACTGTAAGATAAACTCCATGTGTATGTGAGTATCTAATCTGAACAGAAAGAAAACCTTGCATGTAATTAAAAAGAGCTATGTACAAGTCTAAAATTTTTAGTTAAACTCATATATGGCTTTTTGCTGGAAAGCAAATTGCCTTTTGGGTATTGATTGAGATATGTATGTGACATAATAACATCAGATGGACCCTTCTTTCTGGGCAGTTTTCAATTATGGTCCATTAAAGGAAGTTCTTGCTTTATTATTTAAAATCTCAGGTCAGTGCAATGTGGGACTAAATGGAGTACTCTCCTGAACTCATATTGGATATGTGCTACTCAGTGCAATGCTGTGTTTCTTTAGAAATCCCCTTAGTCTAACTTTAGTCTGAGTATATTTGCATGACAGCAAGGACATCTCAAGTACAAAAAAGTCTTCTACCTGCCAATGACACTGTCACAGCTGTACCATTCCCTGAAGTCCTATGACCTATGGCTTCTCTCTAGTTGTTCATGTGGGCTGTTGAGGCGAGTTGTTAGTGTCTGGAGACCTTTCTCGGAGGTTTCATCCTTACCCTAAGATGTATGTATTACCTCAGGTTATACAGTAATTTCACGAATACAAGCCGCACTGTTTTGACCAAAATTTTGGTGGAAACCCGGAAGTGCAGCTAGTACTCCAGGGCGGCTAATTTATTAACAAAAATGTGATATCTGCCCTTACCTGGTACCGTGCTGGTCCTGTCCCGAGCAAAAATGGTTTGAAATCCATGTTTTCCTGGTGTTCCAAAGATT